CCATATTGATGGTGCCGGCCACTGCATGCCCGGCCCCCATCTCCACAGACTGCCTCTCCTCACACCCCACGCACCCCCATCTCCACAGACTGCCTCCTCTCACGCCCTCAGCATCCCCATCTCCACAGACCGCCTCTCCTCACACCCCACGCACCCCCGAGGAGGCAGTGTGTGCTCTGCTTTGCGGGTGAGGGGACAGGCTCACAGGAGCCCACCTGTCTCAGGGAGTCGGCACCAAAATGCGGGCCCAGGAAGTGGTCTGTGACCCCCAGCCCCGTGCTCCTGTTGCCCAGCCGCCGCTGGACAGTCACTTCACCAGGGCCCGGGCCACGAGAACCGTGCCAGGCACCAGTGGGTTCTGCTGCCTCATTTCTCACCTGCTTCCCCTTCGCTGACATTCCATGGCCACTGTGAATGCGCGTTTTTCACCGAGTGATTTTCGCAGCCCGAACTGGTAACTCGTCCCGGTGACAAACGTCCCCGGTCTGAGCCCCCTCGGCCGCAGTGTCACCCTCGCCTCCCCCCACACCTCCCCGACGGCCCGTCCAGTGTCTGGTCGCTCGGTCCCAGTTCTCACGACTGAACCTTTAAGGATCCAGGCGCATTTCAGTTGAATTGAACGCAATTCTTTGTGTCATAAATTCTGCACGGATGCTCCATACGTCAGTGCCTGGGGCTGTGGCCCACCCCTCCCTGCAGACAGGCCCGGGAATCTCCGCGGCAATGCGGCCCGCCCGGTCTGATCCTCTTCATCGAGGGGCCGGACCCGCCTCTGCAGCCCAGCGGGTGGCTGTCCTCGCCTGGGCCTGTTGCTTTTCTTCTCTGGGAGCCCCTCACGGAAGGCGGTGCAGGAGCCCAGGCAGAGGCAGGGGACGGGCAGGTTGGGGCGCCCAGGAACCTTGGGGATGTCCCAAGACGGCAGGAGAGCTCATGTACTCAGAAGGATGCACCATTTAAAATTTATGAATTATACCTGGAATTTTCCATTTAATATTTTTGGACCATGGTTGACCATGGGTAACTAAAACCATGGAAAGCAAAACCGAGATTGGAGGGCGGGGGGGTTGTTGTAATATCTACCCGACAGGACCACTGGGGAGTTTAATGAGGTGATACCTAAAAGGACTTAGCACCTCCCCCCCCAACCCCGGCATATGTGAGCTGCTATTACTATTATCATTGTTACTGTTGGAATTCACGTTCTGGCTGCCACTTCTTACTGAGTCACCTTGAGTGAGCTGTTCAACCACTCTGAGCCCCAGTCCTCACCGTTTGTAATGGGATGACTCCAGCTTCCAAGGGCTCAGGGTGAGTCCGTAGGCCTGGCACAGGGAGCAGCTAAAAAAAAAAAAGTAGCTATTGGTGTTGAATCACGTTACCCTTTCCAAAGCACTTTCTAACAGCTCAGGCCGGTGAAGCCCGGAGCACGCTGAGCAGCGTCTCAGTGCGGTTAGACGTGCTGAGGCCAGGGAGACAGGTGGCCTCCAGGGGGTCTGGCCCCTGTCAGACAGGGGACTGGCTCTAGAAACACCACCCCAAAGTGAAGGGAGAGGAGATGGTCACAGAGCAATGACAGCCAAAAGCGATTTCAGAGATCATTGCCCCATTTTACAGATGAGGGAACTGAGGCCAAGAGAGGAGAATTTAGTAAGTAAATGTTAATAATGGCCACAGTTTGACCACTGCGTGTGTCCAGGCATGTTGCTAAGCAGCTTACATGCAATAGTAGTTCATTTTACTCTTTCAAAAACCCAGGAAGGTGGTACTATTACTATCATCCCTAACTTACAGATGAGGAAACTGAGGCCCAGAGAAGATAAATGACTTTCTCAAGGTCACACATCTTGTTTTAAATCGGGCTCTACTCCTCCAAACCCCAGGACTAGCATTTACTCAACACTTAGCTACACGCTCAGCTGTACCCCTTGGCTGGGTTTTTATGTCTTCTTAGTTCTCAGAACCCTATGCAGTATGTGTGGCTGCTCTCCCCATTTCACAGGGGAAGAAACTGAGGTTCAGAGGGGTGAAGCCACTTGCTCAGAATCACGCAGTGCCCTCTGGGAGGAGGATGAGGATGATGCTTATAATAATGAGGTGGGATGTATTGAACTCTTCTATGTGCAGAGCTCTTTAAACCGTATCACCATGGCAACCCGAGGGCAACCTCCATGTGCACTTAGCACTGATCCCACAGCAGCCCCATCCGGTGGATATTAGAATCTTTGTTTCAGATGCAGAAACGGATGTTGAGGGAGACGGCACCTTGGCCAGTGTCACACAGCGAGTAACAGGCCAAACTAGGATTTGAGCTTGGATCTGTCTTCGCTCCACAGTGAGGCGGACAGCTCGAGGCCTCCCCGTGGGCAGCAGCAGAGCCAGGACAAGGACCCCATCCTCAGATGGGGGCATCTCGGGACAGTGGTGATGAGGGCGTGACAGACAATTAGCTGGGGCAGAGGGGAGAGAGTGCCATGAACTGCAAGCGGCCACTCGGGGAAGCGGGGGAAGCCGCACCAGTTGAGGGGACACAGGGCGAAGGCAGCCTGGGGAACTGATTCAATGGCAGAAAGGCGTCCAGCTGACCCAGG